TTAATCGTGTTTTTAAAAAGTAACTAAGTAACTAAGTAATTAATTACTTTTGAAAATAAGTAATCAGTAAAGTAACAGGATTACTTTTTTGGGAAGTAATCAGTAATTAGTTACTGATTACTTTTTTCAAGTAACTTGACCAACACTGGTCGCCAATAACACATATCGGGTGTGAATGATAGGGCAGTGCCACTAACTGTATGTCTGGACTGTGGGTGGAAGCTGGAGTAGCCGGAGAGAACCCACACAAACACAAGGAGAACATGAAAACTCCTCAAAACTAGGCCCCGGCCAGTCGAAGTCGAACCCAGGACCTTCTTGCTGTGAGGCAACAGTGCAAACAACAGCGCCACCGTGCTCCCAAATTAGCATTTTCAATAAATATAATAAAATACAACACAGTGTCCAATCCAGGTAGACAGGCTAATATTACAGGACTTGTTTTACTAGCTTATGGCTCAAGATAAGATAGATATTAGTGTAAACTAAAATAGAAATGCTGATGTTTGAAACTGTTGGCTCATTAAAATCCTGTTCCCCTGTCCTGTCTCCAGTCTGTTAGACTTGGAGAAGTTTATCACTGTGGTTCAGGCTGGGTTGAGCCAGCAGGTGGAGGAGGGTGATTACGATGGCCTGGTGGAGGTCATGGGTAACCTGCTGGCTGTTAAGGAAAGACAGAATACTACAGACACCATGTTTGAGCCTCTGCAGCAAACCATCGCTCTTCTGAAGGAGTATGAGCAGGAGCTGCCCGATGTGGTTTACAAACAGTTAGAGGTAAGGAGTGATGTTCAGTCATCTCCTATTATTTTCAAGCCCAGATTGTTTAGTCTGTTTTCTCCAGCTGAGACAGAGCAATTTTTCTTCCTTTTTCTTTGCTTTTTTAAATCTCTGTTTCATGCACTTTCTCCTGGCAATCCATCATCTGTCAATCCTGCCCTCCTCGCTTTTCTCCCCCTCTCTGTATCTATCTCTGCATCTGTCTGTCTGTCTGCAGGAGCTGCCAGACAAGTGGGACAATGTGAAAAAGCAGGCAGTGTTGGTCAAGCAGCAGGTGGCACCACTGCAGGCTGTCGAGGTGTCCAGTCTTCGTCGAAAGTGTGCTGCTTTTGATGTTGAGCAACACACATTCAGGGAGCACTTTCGCAAAAGCAAGCTCTTCAGGTAGAAAATCTCTGCTGTGTATAACATGGTGATCAGAAATAATGTGTCTAATCACACATGAAGAAATGTCAGTGTTTCGCATGCTTAAAACTTACTTGAAAGAGAGAGACTGAGCTTAGCAATTTCACAAAAAGCAAAACAAAACCAAAAAACGTTGAAATTATATTTGTATTCTGATGTAGCTTGCTTTAGCAGCAAACAAAGTGTTACAATTTTATGTATGCTAGAGCTTGGACATTATTCTGTATGCAAGCAAGACCGTAATTTTCCTGAACACAGATATCTTTCTTGAGGTGGAATACAGAGAGAAAAGAAGTACACAATCCTGCAGTTACAGTGTTCTTTTTTCAAACCTGGTTTCCTCATCCCTTTCAGATTTTCTTTGCCATGCTTGAGTTTTTTAACACAAGCCCCTATAGGATCAAGGGTAGTATTACAGGAATGCAGTCAAGCTCAAATAAAGTATCCAGAATCCCATCGGATCTGGGGTCAGTTCAGTTGTCTCGCTGCAGCGGCTGTGAATCTCCTCTATCGGTTAAAAACAAACAAAAGATACATGACAACTGTGCTGAAATTTTAATATTACAACTACATTTATTATATATTATCCTGCCATTATTGTCAATGTGTTCATATTTATATTGCTAAAGATACATTAAAGTTACATTAAAAGGACAATGTAACACTCTCTGGTTCTTTGGACAAAATGTTTGACTATTGGAGTTGCATTGGGTGACTAAAGCTCCAAAAACACCATGTTTGTCTATGATAGAGCATGTGTGTTCATGACAGACATTTTGAGCCTTCCTTGGGACCAGAGATGCCCCCCTTGTAAAACTACACACCAGAGATTGATGCTCCTGGTTCCTTATGGCAGCTGCTGCAAAGGAATGCTTGCCAAACTGCTTTGGCTTGCTGAGCGTATTGTGGGAGTGTTTGAGTGTCTGTTTTAGTGCCACTTTGCCAGCAAATGTGCCAGTGATTAGCAGAAGTCTGTTTGCAGACCTTGCAATGCAGAATCAGAGTTGGCCTTCGGTTCTGACCGTTTGGCAGGGCTGATAGCCATAGCTATAGCTGTTGGATAGGGGTGAAACTCATCATGTCTCAGGCTGTATCCCAATTCAGGGTCTGCAGCCTTAAAGTACGCAGCCTCAACGATCCTCAAGGGGCGCGTACTCAAAGACCGCTAAGGCCGGAAGTGCGAGGCTTGTGAAATGGGACGGTCTAGCCTCCGTTGCGCTGCTCAGGTTGCCTAGCAACCATGATACTAACAGCTGGAAACCTTTCATACAGCTTTGTTTGACAGAAATGAAGGAGAAAAACTTTTGTTCGTTTGTTTGTTTGTTTCTACATGAGCTTTGATCATTCTCTGTAAGATTAAGCTCAGCTATTGAACGGTGTATATTTTAAAGTAAAGGCTTTAAAACCAAGTTAGTACAAATGTCACTAATGTCACATAACTTTGCTGACATGTGGCCAACAGTAATGTTTTAATGTTCTTCGTTATTAAACATTTGCACATAAATAAGTGACATCATATTCAGTACTTACTTAAAGTTTACTCTTCGGGCGCCCCTCATCCGCCGTTTTTTTCGGCAAAATTATCCACACCCACCGCCTCGCTATGGATTCTGGGATATGTTAGGCCACGAAGTCTACACCGCCACGTCCTTAAAATTCAGGGAAATGAAGGACGCATTTGAGGGCCGCATTTCGAGCAGCCTTCGAATTGGGACAGCCTTCGTCGCGTCGCTGTGATGTAATTGGCCTTAAAATGCGGCCTTTAAGGCTGCAGACCCTGAATTGGGATACAGCCTCAGTCATGACAGTAGCTGAGTTCTCTTAGTTGAGTCAGCTAATGGTAGTTTAACAGCTAATTGCGGCCTGCTAACAAGCTAATGCTAGTTAGATACTGAAAAGGATTTGTGTTCACGCATTAACCCAAGTTACAGAGTTGTTACAATTTCCCAGATTTATTTATTTATGAGAAAAAGTGGATATTCTCTTAAAATACTGTTGTGCACTACTATTTATTTTATGTAGAATCTAATGTAACTGAAGGCACAAAGATGACAGATGAGCTTATTTCTTCCAATTATTACTCTATTGTCTGCTTCTGCTCGTGCTAAATAAGGGGATGTTGAAGTATAATGTGCCATCTCATTAGAGTTTTCCAGAACATTTCCTGTTTAACTTTCCTTTGGTGATGAAGTTGAGTGAGGACCTTTGAATGTTTAAGAATGTCACCTTCCTAACCTTCTGACTAGATAATAGAGAAGCGTTATCTCGAGGCTCTCACATCCGACAAGGCTAATTGAATCCTAACATAATGATAATTAATTCATAGGTGGAGATGCTTCGTCATAATGTGTAATTGTCAGATTACTTATGTGTGGAATTGGTCTCTTAATAACCTGGTGATTATTTTCCCATTAATGTCATGGAAGTCATTGTTAACTGTCACAGCACTGGGACTCTCCTCTGGTTATCCTGCAGAGGGTATAAGATGATTTTAGCGAAAACCGGAGCCTTTCATTACCTAAACACGGCGTGATTTATACTGAGTTTGTGCAAATGTGTGTGTGTGTGTGTGTGTGTGTTTTGATGGGTGCCTGTGTGCGTTCATGCATTTGTCCAGGTTTGAAAGTGAAAGTCCCTGCCAGATGTTGGATGCATTCCACCGGCAGATCCAGGAACGGGAGGCAATTATGGCCTCTCTGGTGGAGTCTGCCAGCCTGTTTGAGGTCACAGTGTCAGAGTACAGACAGCTCCGACAATGCAGGTAAAGCCCAACGATGGAATAAGAAAAACATAAACAAACATCACAAGACACTAATACATTTAAAACTAATTTAGAGTCATTAATTTAACAGAGATGCTCTCTTGCATTCAGTATCTGAGCTGTTTCATGTCAGATTACCGTATTTCCCGGACTACAAAGCGCACCTGAATATTAGCCGCACAAGCTAAAATCAGGGGAAAATCCTGTTTTGTACATACATTAGCCGCACCTGACTAAAAGCTGCAGGTGTTTCAATGTTGACTTATCATATGTGAGAGAATATGCACAAAGCGAATTGTCAGGAAAGAGATGGCTGTTCGGAGACACACCCCTTTATTAATATTTTGAAAAACAAGTTATGCGTACATATTTGCATAACTTTTTAGGTATATGTACAAGCAGCGGTAATTACAAGTACGAAACATGTACTGTGCTTCATAAACGAGTAACAAATGTAGTACATAACAATAACCTACAGCACACCAGAAAAATAGATTCGGCCTACCTTTTAGGCTCAGGTGCAGTGACACGGCTTTAACAAGAAGAAAAGTCAGTCATTCACCACCATCTTTCTCTTCTTCCTGCGCACTAAAACCACCAAAGTCCTCTTCTCCAGTGTCGGATACGAACAGGCTCAGGATGGCTTCGTCATCCACTCTCCGCTTCTTTCTTTCGTTGTCACTTTCAAACCCAAACAAATCCTCGTTGTCAGTGTCAGAGTCGAACACCCTCTGAAGGGCCGTGGCGGTGTCTCCATCATGCAGCAGTCCAGCCCTTCGAAATCCGTTGGTGATCGTGGATGTTTTCACACTTTTCCACGCTGTCAGATTCCACCGGTGGAGTTGAGCATAACTTGCTTTTCGCAAGTTTATCGCCGCTCGTCATCCAGCGCTACTTTGAAGTTTGTTTTTTGCGCTACTTGTACGGCAATATGTTGCCCGGCGGATGGACATGTGACCAACATACCACTCTTGAACCCCGATACTGTGTGTCTGATCACATGCCCTTCCGCCAGGCAACGTAGTGCCGTACAACAGCGGAGCAAACAAAACAAATCGTCTTACGATATCACAAAAATCATGGACAATCCATAGAAAAGCCGCACCTGACTAAAAGCCGCAGGGTTCAAAGCTTGTGCAAAAAGTAGCGGCTTATAGCCCGACAATTACGGTAATCAACTTTGTGCTCTGTTTCATTCTCAAGGCATGAGGTGGTTCTCTTGAAGGAGCTGTGGGACATGATCACCATGGTGGAATCCACCATGACAGCATGGAGGACAACTTCCTGGAGAGAGATCAACGTGGAGGACATGGAACTGGAATGTAAACGTTTTTCCAAAGAGATTCGCATGTTGGATAAAGAGGTGAGAGGAGAGACGTGAATATTAAAAGTCAAAATACTTATGATCCACAAAATTTCTTTTTCAAACATCCAATATGGGAATTTTACCGATGCTGAATTGGAAACAATCTTTGCATACTTCACATACTTGCATAAAAATCTCTGAAATTTAAGCCTTTTTTTCAGTGCTCAACTGTGATCAAATTTCCCACCTCACACAGCACGATGCTGGAAACAGCAGTGAAACATTCAGCTCTTCATCTAACATATCGCTCTGACTCCCTGCTCAAACCAGCGTGGTACGTCCTGAGATTTGATTTTCACCGGGTGGAATCCACATGCTTGAACCAATGACTTGGTGGTGTTCCAGGGTAGGATAACAGAGCCCTCTTTTCCAGTTCTTCCATGTATAAGTTGGCCACAATGGGTCAAACTGACCGTTGTATGTGAAATATGTGGAATGACGACACAGATCCAAGAGCAGACACATTGGTCGGTGCTGAGAGGGATCCCGTTGCTGAGGCTGGGGTCATCCTGTAATCTCTTACAAACTGCCTCAGTGACTGGAACATCATACTCTCACTTTCTCAACAAAATTCAAGGTGTTCTGGATGTGGTGTTCAGAGCTGCCAACCAACACGTTGAGGATCGAAGCGAGACACTTTGAGATGAATTAGGTGACTGAGTTGCTCATACAGATATGTGTCTTCGGTAAACCATACAGACTTGGTGTAGCTTACCCCCGGGTATAACCTGTGGTATCAGGTCCAGTCAATAGCATTGTCTTGTTCTGACTGCCTCAGACACTCTATCCTCTTGCATTGTATTTCTTGTAACTATTTCCTAATGAAAGTGGACTTTGGATTGGTGGGTGCTTTTAATATGAAGATGCAGTAGTAAGAAATCCTCAGACTGTGGTAATGTCACAGCAGATGTCGTGTTCATCCATCCATCTCTTTCCTTAACCAGTCATTCAAATAACAGTTGCAGGGGGCAGGAGCCTATCCCAGCTAACAAAGAGCGGGAGTTGCGGTTCTTCTAGGACCGATCATCAGTCAGTAACACATTATAAACTTGGCCAACACATTCATCCTCACATTCACACCTACAGATAATCTAAGATCTCCACAGGAAATATATAGATGTGTT